GCTTTCTACTCCCGTAAAGATTTACAGCCTCGGAAACCCTATACAGGGTCGCTATGGGTCGGAACCGACTCGATGGCACATAACAACAACAACAACAAGCTGTTATCAAAGGAGCTCTCGTAGCGTAGTAGTTATGAATCGGGCTGCTAATCTCACAGTCAGCAGTTCAAAACTACCAGCTGTTCCGCGGAAGAAAGATGAGGCTTTCTGCTCCCATAAAGAGCTACAGCCTCGGAAACCATGTACAGGGTCACTATGGGTCAGAACCAACTCCACAGCACATAACAACAACAACAAGCTGTTATCAAGAGTTGGTTGGTACACAAAATCTGAATTCTAATAGACCGTCCAAAAGAACTGAGATAGACTACTACTTCTTTGCTTACCTTCCAGATCTCTTATTCTCTTTTTTGTAGGGTCTTTCCAAAGATGGCGATCTTCGGCTGTCCCGGTGCCTGTGTCTCTCCCGTTCCCGCTCTCTTAAAGGAATTAATACACAGAGCTGTTTACAACAGAAAGACTCACAAATGTCATCTCTACTCACTGAATTAATCTTCTACATAAATGGACCTCACCTAAGAATTATCCAGACACTATTCACCATAGGGCATTTTTGTTGTTGTTGTTAAGTGCTGTCAAGTTGGTTCTAACCCATAGCAACCCTGTATAGGGTTTCCAAAGAGCAGCTGGTGAGCTTGAATCACTGACCTTGTGATTCAAATGACTTTGCAGTCCAAGTCCAGCGCATTAACACACAGCACCACACCAGGACTCCAGGACATTTTTATTCATCTTTAATTTATTAGAAAAGCTTTTAACTTTTACAGAAGTTAACTTATTTGGACAATTTTTGCTATTTTCTTAAAAGTAAGAAGTCATATTTGATGCTAAGCAATAGAGAAAATTGTATCATAATCTTCTCTCAAGACTTTCCAAGCAGACAAATCTTGGTTATCTAATCCACAAAGGAAACTTCAAAGATTTCTATTGCCTCGTGATTTCTAGAAATCTTTCCATTTTATCCATTAAATAAATGCAAATGATAAGGCTTTTACAATAAAGATTAGTGCACAGTTGTCTAACTGAACTAGTTCTGAATTCTTAGACTTGAGTCGTAGTTCTAATGTAATTTGACATGAAATCATAGATGTAGATTTAAATGATCTTTACATGTTCTTTGCATCTGAAAAAAACAAACAAAAAGAAACTCTAAATGGAAATGCTGGATTTATCCAAGGTAAAAATAAAATGGAAGACTTTTTAAATGTTCCAATGTAACAATGAAAATTAATAATAATTAAAATTTGAGTAGATCTACTAGATATAATGGAAGATCTGAATCAATCCAAATTCCAGTGTTTGAATCAGAACTAAAAATCTAAGGAAATTTTAACCATCTAAGCTATATGATAAGCAGTAGACTAGTAACTGCAAGGTTAGCTGCTCTCAGAAACTTTATATAGGGTCGCCATCATTCAGAACCAACTCAATGGCACACAAAAATAGCATTCTTAGAATGAAAAAGGAGATGCTATATTAGCCTGAATCCAGCAAGAAAACCAGAAAAATGTCTGAACTTAAATTTAAAAGTATCCTCCAGCCCATAGGGATCCCTGATGGCATAATAGTTAAGTGGTTGACTGCTAACGAAAGGTCAGAGGGAGGAAAAAAATCTAGCAATTTGCTCCCATAAACACTCCAGCCTAGGAAACCCTACAGTGGAGTTTCACTCAGTCATGGTGGGTCAATAGGATTTGGAATTGACTCAGAGGCAGACAACATGTAGTCCAATAAAGGAAAACTCAATATATAGTTTACTTTTAGGCAATAAATTCCAATTACAGAAATTAATGAATGATGCCACATGTATCTAATGATCAAAGATACAGTGTAATGGCATAGTCGCTGAAAATAATAATTACAAAAAAGACAGCAGTTCCAAACAAAAGCTCTAATTAGATAACATTTCTAATTAGTGGTGGAAGTGCTACGCTGCTAAGCTCTCCACCAAGTGCGCTTTCTCTGTCAGTTCGAACCAACTAGCCGCTCTGAGGGAGACAGATGTGGTAATCTGCTTCTATAAAGACTGTTGTTGTTGTGAAGTGCTGTCAAGTCAGTTCCAACTCATAGGGACCCTATACAGGGTTTCCAAGGAGCACCGACCTTGTAGTTTACAGCACTGCTTCCATAAAGATCACCGCCTTGGCAGCTCTACCTTGTCTTACAGGGGCACTAGGAGTTGGAGTTGACTCTATGGCAGTGGGTTTGGGGGACAGGTAATGCAATGTGGGGAGCCCTGGTGACATTGTGGATTAAGCATTGGGCTACTAATCACATGGTGAACAGTTCAAATCCACCGGTCGCTCCGCGGGAGAAAGATGAGACTTTCTGCTCCTGTAAAGATTTAGAACCTTGAAAACCCTACACAGGGTCTCTATGAGTCAGAACGGATGCGATGGCCCACAATAACACAACGCAAGCTCTCCACCAACTGCGCTTTCTCTGTCAGAGGACAGCCATGGAGTTACTGGGTAACAACACTACTGGCTCTGTGAATTCCCAGGGTCCTGGCCCTCACCACACGCTGACGAGCTTTGGTTTCTTCCCCCACTCCCTAGAGTAATTTCAAGCTTTATATGGAAACAAATATATATACCCAGTTCCTCACAAACTTCTTCTAGAAACTGCTAACCCTAAACCAATCATATAACTATTATTCAGCCAGTATGAGGGAGGAGGAAGATGGCATCTTCCTAGACTTATTCCATAGACTTATTTGAGAACACAAGGGGAACAGCCAGAGACAAGGCTGAAGAAAGAGTATCTATTTAACACAATCTCTCATACATATCTGTGACTTCTCTGCTTATGAAGGCAAGTCCAAAAGTATTGCTACAAAATGATAAAAACCTTCACTAAACAAAAGTATCAAATATGAAGCTGTTGTTTCTTTTTGACATAGCCTCCATCCAGGTGGATACACTCTGAAGGTGGTGTGTCCATCTCTCTAACCCTTCCCTGAAGAACTCTGTGATCTTTGATTTACACCACATCAAAACAGTAATTTTGGGATCCTTAAGGGGCTCAAATCATGTTCCTTTGCAATGTCCTTTGAGTTTGGGAAACAAAAAGAAATCTGAAGGGGAAAAATTCAAGCTATAGGATGGATGGAGTAAGGTTTCCCACAAAAATTCTCATAACACAGCTCTTGTTACGCTTGAAGAATGATCAGGTACATTGTTGTGATGGAGAAAACTTTCTCGGCATAACTTTCCTGGCCTTTTTCTCACCAACGAAGTTTTCATTATTCTTAAAATTTCTTTCATAATAAGCCCCCCACAATTGTCCTGTGTCCTTCGAGAAAAATCTATCAAGATAACCCCTTGGGAATCCCAAAAAACAGTCGCCATAACCTTCTGAGCAGACCTCTCTGCCTTAATTGTAATTGGCTCAGCTGATCCCCTCAGAAGTCATTGTTTTGATTAGTCATTTATTTGAGGCCACCCTAAGGAGACTAAGTCAAGTGTATTACTGAGAGAACTGGTCTGCAGCCATCCACTGACTGCAGTTGTTGTTGTTGCTAAGCGCCGTCCACTCAGTTCTGACTCATTGTGACCCTGTATAGGGTTTCTGAGGAGTGGCTGGTAGGTTTGAACCACCAACCTTACAGTTTACTTGTGGTTAGCAGCCCACTGCTATGCAACAGAGCCACACCAGGACAGACTGATAAAGTATAACCAATCCTGGCAAGACGATCACATCTTTCATAACCCCAAAGACATTATAAGATTTTTCATGCTATAGGGTCATCATTAAGATTGTCAACTTCATTATACAGTCACAGATTTTCATTCATTGATACACTGATAATTGATCATTTTGAAATGATAGTTTTGGAATGCTTTTCAAAAGTAGTTTTTTTACCCCTCTACAATCATAGCTTTTGAGTTATGGTATTGGAGGAGAATATTAGCGCATGGGCTGCCAAAAGAACAAAAAGATCCGTGTTGGAAGAAGTGCAGCCAGAGCGCTCCTTGGAGGCCAGAAAGGCCAAACTTCGGACATACTGTCAGGAGGGACCAGTTGCTGGAGAAGGAGATCATGTTTATTAAGGTGGTTGTTGTTGATAAGTGCTGTTGAGTCGATTCCGACCCATAGTGACCCTGTATAGGGTTTCTGAGGAGCAGCTGGTGAGCTTGAACCTTGGTAAAATGGAGGGTCAGAGAAAAAGAGGTAGACCTCCAGTCGGAACCGACTTGACGGCACTTAACAACAACAATAACAACCATCAAGTCAATTCCAACTCAAAGGGACCTAACATGGGGAGCGGACAGCCTCATCTTTCTCCTTCGGAAGGGCTTGTTGGATTAGAACTACCAGTCTTAAAGTGATGCTTACGCCCTATGCCACCAGGACTCCTTTTTCTGAGATCAGCTCATTTAAGTGTGGGCTCTCCTTCCTCTTGTACAGAAGTATGCTTTTTTTTTTCCTTTTATAAAACAGACTGCACGACTGGATCTTTTGGACCGATGAACGGGAAATGATTGCCTGGTCCTTTGCAATTCATCGAAGAACTCCACCCCTTCGGTTACCTGCTCCGCTCATAGCTTCGGTGGCGAGATGGTGTTCTTCCGCGGTCGTAATCGGACCGGTAGCGGCTGTCTTGTCTCCTCCGATCAGGGCTGCGGCCTCGCTCCCGCCGATCCAGAGACCGATGCCTCTCGCCTCGCCCGTGGCTGTGGTCTCGGTGCCGGTGATCGTCGTAGTGCTTAAGCCGTTCTGGGGACCGCCTCTCACTGGGAGCCTTTGCTAATGGGTATGGAGGGAGATGCCTGAAGTGAGGACTGTTGTTGCTGTTCGCACTAGGTGGGAAAGAGCTGGTGCTGTTCTGGAAACTGCTGAAATTGGGAGGTGGGAAACTGTGGTGTGAGTATCCAGGAGGGTACTGGTAATTGACCTGCTGGGGCATGACGGGAGGGGGCGGAGGGTGAGGCATGGAAGGAGGCGGCATCATGAAGGGGAAAGTGCTTTGTCCAGGAGGGGCTCCAGGGACAGGGGGGTTATTGGGACAGGGCATTGGGGGCGGCATAGGGGGAAAGCAGGGAGGCACAGGAAAAGGGTTTCTCATTTGGTGGTTAGGGAAAGGGGGCCTGACGGGGCAGGGGGGAAGAGGGCCTTGTGCTGATGGAGGCATGGGCGGAGGAAAGGGTACAAAGTCCGGGCGAGGGGGCAGGAAATTGGGGGCTGGAGAGTTGGAGAAAGTGGTAGAGGGGGCACTTGGCGGCTCATATTGATATTGTACAGGAGGCTGCTGAGGGTGAAGCAGCCTCAGATTTTGGGGCCTGAAGGCTGGCGCTGACGGTCTGGCTCCATGTCCTCCTCGCCCTCGGGGACACCCTCGTCCTGGGTGGAATGACATCCTATGGCTTTGTTGGACGGAAAAAAAAGAAAACACAAAAAACAACTCACTATGTAATCATTTCATAATGCCTGACCATCCTGAAGACCAGCCGATAGACCCCCCCTTTGGTCACCGGAATATTGGGCGCATCTTATCCTGGGTCTCGGCAGTACTCGAAACTCTTAATGAATAATACTCTCCCCCAACCCAGTCACGGACAGTCCCCTGGGCCTTGTCTTTCCTGAAAGCTGCTTCACCTCCAAAATCATGAATCCAGCATTCCTCTGTTCAACCTGCTCTCACAGTCAGCTCCCAACCAAATCCACTGGTACCAAGTCAATTCCAACACAGACAGAGCGGAACAACTCTATGGTTTTCAAGACAGTAAACCTTTATGGGAGCAGACAACTTCATCTTTCTCCCACAGAGCAGGTGGTAGATTTGAATCACCACCCTGTGGTTAGCAGCTCAATGCTTAACCCACTGCACCACCAGAGCTCTTCTTGGCCTGCTCCGGTTCCCTGCTCTTAACCTCACAGTGTCATCCTGTCCACTCACGCCACAGCTTCTATGTCTGCATCAGCACCTTCCTCCCACTCAGCACAGACACCTTGGTCTTCAGTGACTTGTTTCTTGTTACCCTAAACTCCTCTGTCCACACTGTTGTACTCACAAGAACCAGGCCATTCCCCAGCTTTAAAAGAATTCAACCATTCACTTTCTATACACTAACCAGAGAGTGGTCACCCACCTCTTTACGTTCTACAAAATATCTATCCCCTGCCAAACAACAAACACAAAAACCATCGAAGAGAACTCTCTCAAGTTGCTGAGCCAATTCTACAAACTTGTTATTAGTTGCCACCAACGAGATTCTGACTCCTGGCAACCCCATGTGCGCAGAGCAGAACTGCTCCACAGGGTCCCTAAGACTGTCATCGTTCAGAGGCAGACCACCAAGCCTATTTTCCCAGGAACCTCTGGGTGGATTTGAACCACCAGTCTTTCATCTTGTAGTTGAGTAGTTGAGTACTTAACCATCTACTTAGCCACCTAGAATTCTGACACTTTACTCCTGAAAGTTCTCCCTTGGCTTACTGACACACATGCTCATTGTGTCCTTCTCCATCTCCCTGGCAAGTCCTCCTGGCAGTATTCCATGTCAGCTCCTCCAAATGTTACGGGGCCTTCAAACATTTGGTATTCCTCAGGGGTCCATGCTCTCATTTAAGGTGACCCTCCATGCTTCTGTTGCTTCAATTACCATCATCTGTCAGTAACTCCCAGAGTTACATTTCTAGTCATCGACTTTTGAGCTACAAAACCACATTGCCAACTACTACTTGACCTCTCTCTTTCAAAGTCTCATCAACCCCCAAATTCAATGTCCATGTCCTGAAAGGAATGAATGGCCTTTTCCTCCAAGACAACACTTGCTCCTTTTCTACTGTTAGCTATTTCTATCAATGGCACCATGTTTCACCCAGGTCATCGAGTCATACACTTGACAATTTCTCCTCCCTTATCTTTAAATTCCGCTTCGTTGTCCTTCATAAATAGATTTCGAATTCAGGCACTTCACATCATCATCGCTTGTCTGGCTACTGCAATGATATCCTTGCTGGCCTTTCCACAAACACCATCACTACCCCCAAGACCTTCATTGGGTTCCCTGCTCTCATGTCTCCTACAATAATATGATCCACCAAGTAATTATACAATTCTATCAAGATGGTAGATCGGGTAGACGTGCAGTGAGGAGCTCCATCAGCAATAACACAAAATACCAGGCCAAGCACGCTCAGGGGTTGGTGCTAGAACTCCAAACAACATATAAAGGAATATTTAGAAGCTTGGAAGGCTTACAGCTAGGGGAATTTGTAGCAGAATCAAGAAATCCATTGCTTTCTAATTCAAGATGCTCAGCTATTCCCAGAGCCGCCGTTTTGGGAGAGGCCAAGTGGGAGAAGGATCGGAACAGCCACAAATGCCTGACAGAACCGCAGAGATACAGGTGTGGACATTCTTTTCTTGGTATCTGTTCATGGGTGTCTCGCTGTCTGCGCACCTCCATTCTGGTGACTATAGGGAATGCCTGAGCGAATGGACACGCCACCCCCACTGCTGGAGGGTTCTACTACGCATGCACACAGATCTCCTTGAAATTTAAAATGCCAGTTTTCACTTAAAACCAAACGGCCACCACTCGTCTGTCAGTTTGTCATACTGTGGTGGCTTGTGAGTTGTTATGATTCAGAAAGCTATGCCAGCAGCGTCACCCATGGTGAACAGGTTTCAGATGAGCTTCCAGACAAAGACAGACTAGGAAGAATGAGTGACGAACTACTTCCGAATCTTTAGTCACTGAAAACCTTATGAAGAGCAGAGAAACACTGTCAGATACAGTGCCGGGAAATGAGCCCCTCAGATTGGAAGACACTCAAAATGCAACTGGGGAAGAACTTCCTCCTCAAAGTAGAGTTGACCATGATGACGTGAATGGAGTAAAGCCCATGGGAGAAAAGCCTTCGGGACCTTCATTTGCTGATGGGACACAACGCAAAATGAAGAGAAACAGCTGTAAACATCCATTGAAAATCGGAACATGGAGTGTACGAAGCATGAATCTGGGAAAATTGGAAGTTGTCAAAAATTAAATGGAATGCATAAACATCGATATCTTAGGCATTAGTGA